TGGGCAGCTGAAAAGCAGGTGGCCTGCCTCTTCATTTGCCAGCTCTTGGCTGTGTATGATTACAGTTGCCTCATTTTCTACTTTGCTAGTGCTGGTCCTGCTGTCTGAGCTCTAGAAGAGCAGAAGCCAAGAAGTGGGAGGGACACAGTCCCTTGTGACTATCCCTAGACATTGCAATGATGACCCAAGGTGAAAATGAATCAGAGTCAAACACACTTAGAGATGTCCTGCATATCTCTAACCAGTCTTATCTAGTGCTCTGCATTCATTCTACTCTCTCACTGCCAAGGGTAGGCCAATTCAATCCTAGATCTTCCAGGATCCTTATTGGTCTCTGACTCTTCTTAAGACCCAGACCTAGGGCCAGCATCATTGACTGTCTCTCGGTGCAGCCCTGGTTTTGCAGGGAGCATGAGAGGTGACACTTGTATGGGGAGTTCAAGGCAGCTCTCTCTCATTCTTCCTTCTCTCTGACGCTCAGAACTGTCTTCTAGCTGGATGCAGATAGTTTGGGTCAGTTTCCCAGACCAAAAAACCTTTTGCTGACCACCACTCCCTTACATATGTTGTCTTCACTTATTAGAACGTATGGTCCTTGAGGACAGGGAATGTGTTTGTATTCTCAATTCTTAGCACAATTAATAATGAATGAACTAATGAAGCATTTATTAAGTTCTTACCATGTGCCGAGTATGGTGCTAAGCTCTGGGGTTACAGATAGAAAAAAGTGAGATAGTCCCTTCCCTTAGGTAGCTCACATTTTAATTGTTGGCAGTGGACAGTGCAGAGAGGGAAGGTTTCAGCTGTAAGTCAGAGGGAAAGGTCTCTACCAAAATTTCCCCCAGTATTCCTCTTTTCTCTTTCCCAGAGAGCCATCCCATATAACATAGAATACTGTTTAAAGAAAAAGAAGGAAAAATTAGCAAAACTGATTAACACATTGAAAAAGTTTGAAATTATGTGCGGCGTACACACTGTCAACTTCTTACCTCACCAGAAGAATGAAATGGGGGTATCTTCTCATATACATTCTTTGGAGCCATTCTTGTTCTTCGTAATTTTGCAACATTCACTTAGGGTCATTTTGTGGTGGCTCTTTCCATTTCCATTGTTGGAGTCATTCTGAATATTGATTTCTTGGGTCTGTTTACTTCACACTGCATCGTCAGTTCATGTAAATCTTTTTATGCTATCCTTCATAATCATCATTTTAAAAAGCATATTAATATTCCATTAACTACATGTACCACAATTTGTTTAGCCATTTTCCAGTTGGTCATCATTTATTTTATTTCCAGTATTTGCTATCACAAAAACATTTTAGTATGTATAGGGACTTTCTTATCAGTGACCTATTTGGGTTATAATAAGCCCCAGTGGTGGAATCTCTGGGCCAGAGAGTATGGATATTTTAGTAACTTTATTTGCACAATTCCGAATTGCTTTCAAAAATGGTTATACTAGGAAAGCCCAGAAAATATCACCCCCGGAAAAACCCTGGGGTGGCTGAACCAGAAGAAAGATGGGGTGAAGCAGTCCAGTAGCCCAGGTAGCTTGAGGGATTAATGGAAAAGGTCCCTCTTGCCCTGGGGGAGAGGAGCAGTACAGAACAGGAGGCGTCCCAGCAAGCTAGCGGGAAAGCCCCACCTCAGCATACCAGGAGGAGATCCTGAAAGCCAGCTGGTGAAGCAGGCAGACACCAACATCTGGACCCCGGAGTGCCTCAGTGAGGGCAAGAAGACTGGTAGAAACCAGCTTGGAAAACCACCAGGTGCCTCGGCATTCTACAGCAACCGGGTCTGTCGTGCCTCAGCAAAACTAAGGGAAGCAGTGCTCCAAGGGGGCCCCAGGTGGATAAACATCCTACAACATCCCCCTGAAAGGAGCTGAAAGGAAAGAAAGGGCCAGGCGAGCAGGAAATCTCCAGGAGCCACACTACCCAATCCTACCCCTAGAGTTCTAGTGCTGTTGATTCCAGCCCAACAGCAGGTAAGCTGCCAGAACCCTACGGCCTCCAGCTGCCAGCATTAGAGGCCCCAGCACACAAAGCCAGTGACCAGGGCCAAAGCTCCCAGCACAAGAAGCTTGCCCTCTGCTACCCAGCAGGAGAGCTCAATATCTCTAAAGGCCAGGAAATAAGCAAACACCATGAAACGTACGATAGATTCTTATTATGGGAAGAGAGAAGATCAAGGCAGAATTTCTGAAGAGGACAACACTGTCAGCAAACTCACATCTGGAACCTCAAAAGGGAATTGGCCAAATGGGGAAGGAGGGACAAAATCTAATAAAAGAAAACAATTTGTTAAAAATTAGAATTGGATGTGTTTAATAGGAATGTAAACGTAAAGCCTGTTTCAGATTGTGCGCTGTCTTGGGGAGGGTGGGGGGGAGGAAGGGGAGAAAAACTTTCAACTCAAAAGCATATGGAAGTGATTGTTGATAAATAAAAATAAATTAATAAAATTAAAAAAAAATAAATAAAAATTAGAATTGGGCAAATGGAAGCTAATGACTCTATGAGAGAGCAAGAATCAGTCAAACAAAAACAAAAGAATGAAAAAATAGATGAAAATGTAAAATACCTCATTAGTAAAATAACTGACCTGGAAAATAGATCCAGGAGAGACAATTTAAAAATTATTGCTCTACCTGAAAATCACAATGGAAAAAAGAGCCTGGACAGTATCTTTCAGGAAATCATAAAGGAAAACTGCTCTGAGGTCCTAGAACCCGAGGGTAAAATAGCCATTGGAAGAATCCACCGATCACCTCCTGAAAGAGATCTCAAATTGAAAACACTAAGGAATATGGTAGCCAAATTCCAAAATTACCAGGTCACAGAGAAAATACTGCAACCAGCCAGAAAGAAACAATTTAAATATCATGGAACCACAGTCAGGATTACACAGGACCTTGCAGCTTCTATATTAAAAGACTGTAGGGTGTGGAATATGATATCCCGTAAGGCAAAAGAGCTTGGATTACAACCAAGGATCAGCTACCCAGCGAAAATGAGCATGATCTTTCAGGGGAAGAGCTGGATATTCAACGAAATAGGGGACTTCCAAACCTTCCTGATAAAAAGGCCAGTGCTCAACAGAAAATTTGATCTTCAAATGTAAGACTCAAGAGAGACATAAAAAGGTAAATGGGACAGAAAGAAACATGTTGTTAATAAGGGCAAACTGTTTACATCCCTACAAGGGAAGATGACACTTGTAACTCTTGAGAACTGTATCGTTATTACACCATGCTAAAGAGGGTGGGTATAAGTTGACTTTGATGTAATGATTTAAAAAAAAATCTAATCAAGTGGGTCAAATGAATCCAACCAAGTAAATGGATTAATCTGATCCAACTAAGAAAATGTACTGAGGGAAAAGGAAAAGAGGAGGCAGACAAGGGTAAATTATATTACAGGAAAAGGGACAAAAACCTATTACAGCAGAGGGAAAGAAGGGAGGGAGATGAGCATTGTTCGAACCTTACTCTCGTCAGATTTGGCTGAAGAAAAGAACAACATAATCAGGTACTAAAATTGATAGACTTAAAACCCTTCTTAGCAATGCAAGAATCTAAGACATCTTCAAAGGCCTCCTGATGGAAAATGCTATCCACATCCAAAGAAAGAACTATGGAGTTTGAATGCAGATTGAAGCATACTATTTGCTATTTTTTTTCTTTTGTTGTGTTTTGTTTTCTCTTTCTGGTAGTTCCTCCTGTTGGTTCTAATTCTTACCTACAACCTGACTAATGTGAAAATATGTTTAATAGGAATGTATATGTATAGCCTATATCAGATTGCGCACTGTCTTGGGGAGGGAGAGGAGAAAAATTTAAAACTCAAAAGCTTATGTTGATAAATCAGAATAAATTAATTAAAAAAGAAAATCATTGTACTGATTCATAGCTCCACAAAAAATGTACTGCTATGGCTATCTGCCCACAGCCTCTCCAGTGTTGACTATTCTCCTATGTTGTCATCTTTGCCAAATTTGCTGGGTGTGAGGTAAAGCCTCAAGATTGTTTAGAATTGCATTTCTTTTGTTAGTGATTTTGTAACATTCTTTCATATGGCTGTTAGTAGTTTGAAAACTGTTTATAACCTTTGATCACTTATGGTTTGGGAAATGGCTTTTGGTCACATCTCTCTCACTCTATGTGTGTGTGTGTGTGTGTGTGTATTTTTTAATTGTGTATATATATGTATATATAAATTAATTGTTTATATGTCTTGGATCCCAAACAGTCTTTCGTGTTGTGGCTAGTAGTCTGCAATTTGTCTTTTTGGTGCTATTTGTTTTATACTTATCTTATATGATTACTTATCCATCGGGGAATGATACTTAGTCTTTGTAGAAGGTATCTCAGAGGTTTTTTACTGCAGTTTCTTATCAGAGATATTTGATGAAAATAGATTAATCCAATTGACAGTTTCCCATCATATCCTAACTGCACTGATTTGGTTAATTCAAAATCTTTATCTGTTGTGATGATGTCTATCCTTTGCTTAGTTAAGGAATTTTCTCCCTAAATCATAGATTTGAAAGGTAACTGATTTCCTTCTAGTTTTTTTTTTTTATAGTGTATCTTGAAACATTTACCCCTTTTGAATTTATTGTGGTATCTGGTATAAGGTAGTGTAAATTTAATTTCTGTCTGTTTTCCAATTTTCCCAAAAGTGTTTGTTAAATAGGGAGGTTTTTTTGGGGGGTAGGGTTTAGGCAATTGGGGTTAAGTGACTTGCCCAGGGTCACACAGCTAGTAAGTGTCATGTGTCTGAGGTCACATCTGAACTCGGGTTCTCCTGACTCCAAGGCCAGAACTTTATCCACTGCGCCACCTAGCTGCCCCAGGGAATTCTTTTCCAAACAATTTATGGTCTCAGGTTTATTAAATACTAGTTTATTGAGATAATGTGTTTGATTCTTCCTTGCCTATACCTAATTTTACTGAGTAATCATTAACTTTTAATAACTTTTTTTTTGTCTTTCCAGGTGCCTTTGTGGGAGTTATGCACTGGTAAGATTTAGTTGCAATTTGTTATAAATGAGAATATTTGGTTTAAAAATTTTCTCAAATCTGTTTTATGCACATTAAGAAATGGAATTGCCTATATGTGGATATCTTTAAATTTATTTGATTACAGATGTGCCCCACTTTAGAAAATGATTTGTAGCACTTGGACCTCGCAAAAATGTATACAAAATAGGTTATAGTTATTTATAAAACAATTCTTTGTAAAAGAATTTGTTGCTCAACAAATCCTTTTAAATCTATGGGTCCCTTATATGTAAGTTTTTGTTTCCTGAACTTCAGTTGTTATGAAAAAGGTTTTGTGTATATTTTTTGGGACATGTGATGCTATTTTTGCAGAGGAAACATTTAGTTCTAGCTACTCTTTTAACATTTGGAAATCTGTTAGAAATGAAGAAAAATACATTCCAAAATTATGATATAAATGTATAGGAAAATGGTATTACTTTGAAGTAACAGATCTCTTATGTAAAGCAAGGTATTCCTGTATGTATATATGTTCACAAAGATATTTAGTCATTCAATAAGCATTTATTTTATTGTTGTTCAGTTGTTTAAATTGGTGTCTGACTCTTCCTGACCCTATTTGGGTTTTCCAGATACAGGAGTGGTTGCTATTTCCTTCTCCAGCTCATTTTACAGATGAGAAAACTGAACCAAACAGGATTAATTGACTTGCTCAGGATTCACATAGCTAGAAAGTGTCTGAGGCCCAATATGAACTTGGGTCTTCCTGATTCCAGGCCTGCCGGCTCTATTCACTGTGCCACCTAACTGCGTATCTCCCAGGGACTGTGCTAAAGCATTGGAGATAGAAAGGCAAAATGTTGTCTCTGAGCTCAAGGAATTTATAATCCAATGGGGAAGATAACACATAAAAGGAACCTGAAAAGGGGAAGGAGGAAGGTCCTGGGCAAAGGGATATGATGAAGTCCTGAGGAGTGCAGCCTGGTGGGAAATGCAGAGCTGGCTGGCCTGGCTGCCCCTCTCAGACAGAGGATCTGGGAGGAGCTCTCTGCTCAGCCCTCTAGTCACAGGGTCCAGGGGCAGAAGTACTGAGGACATACGAGGTCCAGGCCTGAAATGATCTTACAGAAGAGATTCCTGTGGCATTATAGAGTCCAGAGGAGGGCAGCCCACTTAGAGTGAAAGAGTCTGGTGGGATGACTCAAGGTTAGATCCATAGAAATGTTTAAAATACCATGCCCTTTACAGAATGACCATATTACAAAAGAAAAAGGAATGTATTGAACATATTTATTTTGTATCAGTGCAGTCTCTGAAATAGTAGAGTGTAATGGAAAGAATGTTGGATTCAGTGCATGGACATCTTGGTTCAAGTCCTACCAATGTTGCTGCAGGACTTGTGGCAACTACCTTAGCTTCTGTTGGGACTGCAGCTACTTCCTCTGTAAAATGAGAGGCCCGGCCCTGTGTGATGTGTTTTTCCAGTCCTTCAGTCTTGATACTTAGTACATTGGGGTGCATGCGTTTGTGCGTGCGCGCGTGTGTGTGTGTGTGTGTGTGTGTGATTTCTGAATATTGGCAGAGTAAGAATATTATCTTATAAAATTGGTGTGATTTGAATTTTCCAAATTACTGAATTCCGTGAAATTGAAATTATATGCCCAGTGACTCCTATTTGACAGGTAGTACTGAACTTGTAGGTTTGAGATTCTGTGGAATTTCCAAGTGGAGGATATGAGAAGTTGGCCTTCCCACATCACAGTCCACTCTTTGGCCTTTACCTAGTCCACTGTGGCCTTTCTAGCTGTAGCAGTGAGAGAGGAAGGAATTTTTTTCCTAATTCCATCACCAAGACTTCTCTGGGAAACTGATGAGACTAAGTTGAGATCTGGCATTCCACTGAAGCACATCCCCTGTTTTAAAACGGCAGGTACTGAAGAATGAGGTTGGTTACAAGGGAGCTCTGTTTAACATTCAAGTTTGTTAAAATGGATCTGGTTTCTCTATTTTAATATTGCCTGCTATATCTGGAAGTATATGTGAATATATGTGTATATGTACATGTATTTTGCATATCTTTATTTCAGATTTTCCTTTAGAGTGCCCCCTTTAAATTTTTTCACTTATGTCAATGAAATATTCTTTTCCTGAAATATAGTCCTATTCACTTAAAATTTAATTTTTGAGACTAAGATATATTACTTTAAAATTATGTTTTAGTGATTTAATTTTAATTTAGTGATTTAATTTTAATACTTTTTAAAACCAGAGAATGGAAATTTTATTTATGCCTAATTACAAGATTTCAAAATTTCTCTTTTGAACTATTCCCTTTCTCTTATCAGATTTGAAACTTCTTATTTTGTGTGCATATGACTAGATATTTTTTTTGGTACTAATTCTCATTCTTGTCTCTTATTCTTGTATGTGGTCCTTCATTTTTTTTTTTTCAGGGCTCATTTAACAACTCTTTTTGAAAACGATCGCCATTTTTCCCACCTCTCGACCTTGGAAAGGGAGATGACTTTTCGCACTGAAATGGTTAGGCCCTTCTAAAAAATTGTTTTATGATCTTTTAAATAGTTGGTTTAAAACCTAGAAGCTTAATGAGCACTAAAATGATTTGACGGTAATTTTTATTCTTTGACAGAATTGTAGCTTAGGGGTATTGTTGTTCCCTAAAACATTTTGGTGGCCCTCACCCCTTGCTTGGTCTCAGTTCCTCTCCTTATCTGATACACCTTTCTAATTCAAGTTATGTTAACCAGTTTACTGAGTAAGTAAAAATGCATGAGCACTCAGGAAATGATAATATCCAGGGGTAATGACTTCTAACTTAAAATTAATTTACAAGAGTAGTAGGTTACAAATTTTATGTGAGTTGAAATCTACAATTGCATGTCATTTTATGGAATAGTTATGTGAATGAAAAATGATTTGTAAAGCTTATTTCTATAAATCAAGTCATGTCTCTATTAACTACCATCATAACATTGGAAATATATGTCTGATGAAAAATAATTAAAGCACAATAGTCCTTTTGAATTCATGTATGGAAGAAGATGACTAGGCCGTCTTAAAGACCTTGAATCCTTTCCATTATTGGAACAGAATACTAAGATAAATGAGCTATTGGTTTAGCTCAGGATTACATTTCTCGTATTGTCATATTTCCTGAGAAATCTTAGTGTAGGCCACTGTACTGGTATATAGAGCCCTGCACTGGAAGGCAGAAGGCAGAGTCTGGCCTCTCCTATGGCATGTTTTTATCTGAGCTTTCTGTATGCCGTATCTTCCTTACATCAAAAGATGATGTGAGAATATTGTTTATGTGAGTTAAAGTGCTATTAGCATGGAGAATGTTAACATGGTGCCTTTCACCTCATACGATTTGTGTTCAATTCCATTTAGTCAGTTAGTGCCTGTGAGTGTGTAAGGTGCTGTGCTAGGAAGAAAGAAACAAGACAGTCTTTGCTGTCGAGGAGCTTAGAGTCACCTGAGTGCATATGACCTAGACCCAGACAAGACAGTACAAAGTAATCATGGAAAATATGGTCAGAGGAGCATCTGCAACGTGTGTGCTCAGGAAAGGCCTCTTCTTCAAGGTGGGGCTTGAGCTGGACCTCGCAGGGAACAGAGCATGGCAGGCACAGGGAGAACAGCTTGTATAAAGACCCAGACGTCACTTATGGGGAGCAGCAAGTCGGCCACTTGGGCTGCTAGTGTGGAATCAGTCATGAGATGTATTTGGGGGGAGCTAGATTGTGAAGGGCTTTCAGTGCTAGAGAAATTTGCATTTGAGTTTGTAGGCAGTAGGGAGCTGCTAAAGCTTCTTGAAGAAGACCAGGTAGTTAGATCTTGGCTTGAGGGCTTTTGAATTGAATATCAGTACACAGAAGGTTTTCTTTTTCCCCTGAAATATACTGTTATAACAAACAATCCTTTTTTGCAAATCTAGGCAGATAATTGGAACACTCCCTTTTGGATTCAAAGGGGAAAACCATTTTCGCTTATTTCCTTTTCATATTGGAACATGGTTGTAGTACTTAGAAGATTGTTCTTACCACTTGTTTAAATTGAAAAAGACAAAGAATGGAACTGGCTGTGAGGATGCCTAAATGGTCTTCTGAATGGTCCTTGTCATCCATTCACTCCTTTTTTTTTTTTTGATAATGTAGTACTAGGGACCAACAGTAGTCTTTTGACATTTATTCATGACCCACTTTGAGCAAAGGCACCATGTGGAATTATAGAAGAAAAACAAATCATGGTACCTGTTCGTTATGGTATAAATCATGTAATAAATTAAACACAGTGTTAGAGGGGAACGTATCTTAGTAATCATCCTTCAAATACTCTCACTTTAAGATGTGGAAACTGAGGCTCAGACAAGTGAATTGGCTTCCCCCAGGTTATGACACCAGTAAATGACAGATCCAGGACTTGACCTGAGGTCTTTTAATTCCTAGTATTGCATTGTTACTATATCACGTTGATTAGCATCTAGCATTTTTTCTTGCCATTTTGATGGTGTAAGACAGGTAGCTAATAAGATTTTTGTATCTCATATAAAATTAGGCTTAGGTCTTGGAAGACGTTCTAGTATGCCATTTTTCATCAGTTTTTCACCCCCAAACTCTTCATAATGTGGTAAATAATTAAGCTTTAAATTAAAAAAAATACATTTTATTGATATATTTTATTTTTATGTCAACATTTCCCATTTTCTCCCATTACCAGAGAGCCATCTCTTGTAACACAGAAATTAAAAAGAGGGGAAAAAAAGTTCAGCAAAACTAGCCAATACATAGAAGAAAATCTGTCATCTATAGTGTTTCACATTCAGAGAAGGAGAGTCTGGCACCATTTATCTGAAAGTATTTTAGAGTGTTTTCTCCACTTATATTTTTTGGAACAAGTTTAAAAAGTTTGTCAAATGTCTGAATTTTTAAGTTCTCAGAAATTACTAGTAGAGAGAAGCTTATAAAATTAAATACTGGTCATGGATAGTTTTTTGTCCAATTAAAAGAAAATTAGAAGGAATTATGTGTGGAATTTTAAAAGGTGAGGAAATGGTCATTTCCAAATTTTAATAAAACTGAAGTATTGTCTGTTTTAGGGACTTTACTATTCCTACTTCAAGACCATGATAGAAGCACCTACGTTTCTAAGAGGACTGTGGCTGATTATGAATGATAGACTTACTGAATTTCCCCTTGTAATTAATGCCGTGAAACGCTTTCATCTTTATCCAGAGGTGAGTAATTTTGGGAAAGGGAAATCCAGTTTGCCACCCTAATCTGTAAAGGATACAGAGGAGGTTCATTCCAGAAATAAATTCACTGTGTTAATGCACACCTCAGTAGCTTTTTCAATTGTACAATGTTTTGTTTTAGATGTATCACAGAACTTTACCTGTGATTCAGTGTAAGAAGAAAAATAAAAATTAGAAGATAGGGTGCATCTCTGGGCTAACTGTTGACTCTGAAAAATGGGAAATAAAGAACAGACCATCAGCATTTCCTAAAGAAATTTCATGATTGTAACCACAGTGAAGAAACCAGAAGGACCTACAAATTCCTTCTGCTCTAGGTAGGATCTCAGAGAAATTTGGTAGGCAAAGGCATCACCAATTTAGAATATAACTTTATTTGGAAAGTTTTTCATCATGAAGTGGCAGAGGAAAAAAATTTACGAGAAAATGCTTACACATATCAAGGACATCCTTGTTTGAGAAGGAAACAGATTGATTTTCTCAAACAGTATTCTAATTCTCATCACTGCTATTATATCAGCACACAATTTACTTAAAGGTTGTGAAAATAAAAGACATAATGATGTATATTTTTGACTAGTAAAAGTCACGCAATAAGGTATCTCATGCATATGTCAAAATCATAAAAATTACTTCAAAAATGTTAACAGCAGAGAATATTTTGCTCTGATTTCCCCTGATTATTAATGTCAAGGTAGGCGCAAAACAGAGAAGCATGTTTACCAGATGTCTACAATGGAAGATGACTAACACAGAGTCAACCCAGCAGAGGGATTCCCTGTAGATCATACAGACTTCTAGATGCTCTCTTACTCTGAAGATGACTTTATGCTGATTGCAGAGCCTCCCAAATGAGCTCTGTAATCACTCAAAGTGAAGAGGAAGAACCAAGTGTCTGAAACAGGTTGTGATCAGCCATTTAATGGACAACCTATAAAGCTGATCCATTGTTGTATGTGTATATTGCATATTAAAAAGCACATATATAAAAATAAGGTATTTGGGCTAGATTGTCCTTGGGAAATTATGCAGTTCTTTTAGTGACCCCTGTGTTTTTAGTATTGGTGTTATTTTGGTCATCCTGTATAACTATAATATATGGAATACTTCATGGAGAGGTATGTGGTAGGCAGGAGTGGGCTGCAAGATATTGCTAGTGAAGGATTTTTTAGAAAAAGTGGTGTATGATGTCATCAGAGATATGTGTCTAGAAAGAATTGGGCCAGTCACGTAGCGGTAGTCGGTGATGAACAGTGGACAGACAGCTCAAGGGTGCCATTGGTATCCACCTAAAGCTGAGGAATCCAGGAAGTAGCCTCAAGTGTGTCATTTTGATTCCTTGTGAAAGATTTCTTAGGAGGACATGGGCAAGACGCCCATTGGGTGGAAAAACATAGGTTGTGATCCTGATTCTTGGAGTGAGTTCTCTCACTTAAGAGAGAATATCCATTGAAGAATTGTGCTGAGAGTTAGCCTAGAATTTTCTTTTAACGTCTTTCCTGAATGTGCTAGAGAATAACTACAAAGTAATATACAATGTAAATCACTACAAAATAATGTGATGCCAACTGTCTATAAAATTACTGAGGAATAGAGAATGGGGGGGGGGAGGTGAGAAGCTATGGAGAGCAAAGTAAACCTTAAACTGGGCCTTGAAGGAAGTGTGAATTTCAACTGTTAGCAAGCTAGGGGAGTGGTCAAGAGAGCTCAGAAGAGGTTCAGGGGTCAGTGGGGGGAGAGCGTCCTCAGAAACTAAAGTGGTCATAAGCATGGAATACTAAGGGAGAGGAGGACAGGTGATGCTGGGAAACTAGCTTGTCTGAAGCAGAGTCCAGGTGAGGATTTAGGAAGAGCTAGGGAAGCTGAGGCCAGGTAATAGAGGGCTGAGGATGTCTTGCCAAAGAATTTTATTCACAGCCTAATGCTTGTGTTAAAGATCCATGACTTTGGGGGATTTCTTTACTTTCCTGGTCCATGACTGCCATCCTGGAAATCAGAGAAGGTATATGTGGTTTTTTCCTAGGCTGTCCCCCAGTATGCTGAGACCTACACCCCAAAGGAAAGTTCTCTTAAAAATGAGGGGAGCGAAACAGGAATCATGGAGTGAATGAAGTGAATAAATATTTGTTCCTACATCCTGAGTCACTTAGGTATGAGAAGCTCTAATGGAGGCCCTTTCTCACCAGGCCTGCCTTGGCCTGCTCATCTCTGCTGCTCAGAGAAGGAAGATGTGGATGGGAGTGGCATCCCCTTCTCTTTTCTTTTTTTTCCTTTTTCTCCTTCATAGAAGAGTTGCTCAGCTCCTGGTTTTCCAGGGCAGGCTTTCCTGTCTTTATGGAGTCCTTGGATGCTTTCTAGTCAGTGAAAAATTAGAAATCCATCTCCTGCTACTTCATGTCTCTCTGGTAGCTGCCTTTCATTTTCATAGGCCTCACTGCCCTTCTCCTACTGAAGACTATTTATGTCTGCCACTCATCTTCATGTGGTCTCTGGTTACCAGTCCCGTCAATCACCTTAAATATTCCTTGGAGCAAAGTCATGTGGAAAAGCATTCCAGTATAAGCTTCATCTAAATCACAGAACCTTAGCTGTGGAAGAAACCTGAGAGGTCCTTTAGTTCAGTCCCTACTTGAATCCTCTGACAGGGGAGACAACATGTCAATAACTAGGTATAGAGAAGATATCTACAGTCAGAGTAGAGAGAAGGTACCATCTCAGAGGCAAGGCACTAGCTAGCAGACAGACTGTCTTTCACCAGATCCATACCAGAAGCCTTTTAAGCTGGCTAGAAATGCTGACAGCTTACACTCCTCTGATGCCTTCTAGAACTCAGCATCTCTGCCTTTGTAGGATGAGGCAGAGGAGTTAGACCCTAGTTCTGATATTTTACTCAGTTGTAAATAACTAATTTACCTATGTAAATTTACCTTTAAAGTTTTACCCTTGACTTGATAGAAACTTAAAAAGTTATTTCTACCAGAAAAATTAACATGTGTGTATATCTTTGTGTATATGTTTGTATCTTTATATATATGTGTACACACACACATACACACACACACACACAGGCACACATATAAATATACACATATGTACATGTATGTATTTGCCTTAAGCTAAGGGATGGACTCTGGCCTGTTGTGTTTGAGATAGTATACAGTGAATGAAGGAAGTTTTGGAGGCTCAAACTTTGTTCTCTAAAATGACAACCTGTGGCTTTGTCTGCCAGTGGAGAAAACTGATCTTGCTTGTCTTCACTGGAACTTCTAGCATAGCTCTGGTTTTATAGATTTAAAGGAAAGGAAAATCTCAGTCATTAGAGGGTTGAGAGTGAGAAACACAATGCTGTTGGTATTGGGACAAGTCAGCATAGCTTGAAAGCAAAACAAAACAAGAGTGGTTTAATAGTGTCCTCTGGTGGCCAGAAAACGGAGACTTTACTTTTTCTGCCCTTTCACTATAAAGGTAAAAATACTAACCAGTGCTTTTGCTGCTAGTAACAAGCCTAACCTTTCAAGCTCTGGATAATCAACCTTTTTATTTTTTGTGTTTGCGACAGGTCTGGGTCTGTGATGTAATGGGAGTAGGGAATTGCTGGTGTGGAAAGCCCATCCACTGATGCACATCAGCAAAACTTTGTTTTGAGACGCTTGAGTGGTTTGGTCACTTGCCCTTGATCACAAGGCCAGTACATGTCCGAAGCAGACGCGGACCGAGGTCTTTCTGTCTCTAACTCTGTGCCACACACTGTCTCCCAACTAATCACAGAGGTTAGCACATCTCTCCCTTGTGTGTTCATCAGATTGATAGTGTTACTCAAATGAGGTAACAAGGCACTTGCAGCTGTGTTCTGCAGCAAAGGAGGCCGATTTCAGAGTCACCAGCGACATGTTTAGGGGGTGGAATGGCATTATCTTTCACTCTTCAGAACCTTATCAGCCCTAATTTCTCTTGAGAAAAACCTCACTTCTCATGCTTTATTGATGGAAGATTCTAACTCGTTAGGGCTTTAATAAGCATTTTAATGAATGTTACTGGACTCTCAGGTTCTGTTTTTAGAATATACACATTTGTATGTGGATTGAACTTCTTGTTTTGTGTGAAGATCAAAGACTATTTTTTTTCTTTGTAACAGAGGACCCAAATGTGAAGCCACAAACTGCCCTCTACCAGATTCAGATGTTTTCTTAATAATAACAACATCTTGCCTTATATATTATCTTCATTGTGAGTTTCTGTCTACTGTTCCTTATTCTTTTATATTTTCAAATGTCTTTGATTCTCATCAGTTTGGCTTTTTCCTCTACCTACACATATTTCGACTCCTTTGTGTGTATAAGTTGCTGTTAATGAAAATTTCATCACCTGGTGGTGAACCTTTTGGAGATGAATTTCTTTGTACTTGAGCTATATTAGATCTCACAAGATTAACACTGAGTTGCTGGGCCAATCATTGAAACCTTTTTAGCCCCTAAGACCAGCCAGAGCTTGTCTGCTATCAGGACAGCAAGGACCCAGAGTCGTATCCGTGCCGTGATGAGGCATCAGAGTAGGCCCATTAGTATTAGGATGATGTCATTTATCCTGTTTTGTGAAGGATGCAGATCATCTCTTGAAAATAGTAATTATGATTATTGCTCTGGCTTTGTAAGGTGCTTAATGGTTTATAAAGTGTTTTCTTTTTCAACAATCCTATGAGGTAGGTAGTACAATTACTATAATCTCCATTTAACTGAAGAGGAAATTGAGGCTTGGAGAGACTTGCCTGTAGTCACATATTAATAACAAGTAGAGCCAAGGTTGCAACCAAGGCCATCTGATTCTAAGTCTAATGTTCTTTTCCCTCTGCCATGAAATTTTGAGTGACATTTTCCTCCCATATCTAAGGACAACATTTAGAATGCTTGAAACATCATAAAATAACTGCTTTGAGAAGGGGATATTTATAAGGTAGAATATCCTGGTCTTGGGTATCTCCACTCTTTTTTTCCCCATAGGTAATCATAGCCTTCTGGTACCGTGTGTACATTGGAACAATGGACCTCACTGGCATTCGAACAAAAGTGTGCTGGAATGTTTCCAGAGGACAAGGGCTTAATCCAGTCGAAAGCTGTGAAGGCAAGTTTAAGATAGTATTTTGTTCTCGTGAATATTGTTACTATTTATGAGCTTGGGTTATAAATTAGTGTGACTGATTTATTAGATCAAAGAGGTCAGAATTTCTGTTTCTACATCAGAAAATCTAAGCATTAGAGGGAACCTCAGAGGTTATCACATTTAAACTATACGTGTCCAAGAATCCCCTCCAAAACATTCAACCTTTCCTTAGAGGCCTCCAGGGAGACAGAACCCCCTTTCTGCCAAGGCAGTCCATTCTACATTTAGAGAACTCTAATTATTAGGAGTTCTCTAAAGGCGTAACCAGAATCATGCCTAAATCTTCCGGTGCACCTTCCACGAGGGCCAACCGAAACAGGCCTAGCCCCCTTTTGCATATGAATTTTTCAGATACTTAAAAATGGCTCTTGTATCCCTCCTTAGTCTTTTCTTCTTCAGAATAAAGAGCTCCAGTTACTCCAGCTGATCTTCACCAGGCATGAACTCTTGAGTCTTTTGATCTTTCTGGTCACTCTCTTCTGGCCCTTCTCATAACAGAACACAATATTCTTTGTGTGTTCTAACCATTATGTAATTCAGTGGAATTATTACCTCCCTTGTTCTGGACACTGTGTCTGTCTTAATGCAGCTTAAGATAGTAGTAACTTTTTTGGATGCTCTGTTGACTCAAATTAGTTTCCAGGCCACTTTTTCCCCCCAAAAAACTACTGGGTAGCTATCCTGTATTTGTGAAGTTGCATTTTTGAAGCCAAGAATAGAATTTTAAAATTATCCTTATTAAATTCATTTTATTCAATTTAGTTCCTTAGTCTAGCCTCTTGAAAGAGACCCTGATTCTGTCATCTAACTTAATAGCTGTCCACCTCAGCCTCATATTGTTTGCAAAGTTGACAAACATGCCTTGACTAGTATCACCTGAATCATTGATAATATTATTGAACAGCAACAGGTCAAAGACGTATCCCTGGTCCATTCTACCCTATAAGAAACCATCTTCCAGTTGGACAGCAACTCATTAATGAATATTATTTGGCTCTGGTCATTCATCCAGTCTCCAGGTGACTTAATTATGTTATCATCTACTCCACATCACTCCATCTCCTCTGCAACAAGAACATGGACGTCTTTGTCATAATTTGCTTGTTCTTTCAGAAAAGGAAATGGTAGTGTGTCATGACCTATTCTTGATGAAGCTATTCTGGATTTTAGTAATCACTGCTTTCTTTTTGAAATATTTAAAAAAACCAGCATTGTAATGGTGTGTCCTAGGGGCAGCAAGGTGTTGCAGTGCATAGAGCACTGAGGCTGAAGTCAGGAAGATTCATCTTCGTGATATCAGATCTGGCCTCAGACACTTTATTAGCTGTGTTACTCGGGGCAGATCACTTGACTCTGTTCGCCTCAGTTTCTTGATCTGTAAAATGAGCTAGAGAAGGAAATGGCAAACTGTTCCAGTATCTTTGCCAAGAAAACCCCAAAATGGAGTCAGGAAGAATTGGGCATAACTGAATGGACTCAGCAACAAGAATTGTGTAAGTTATCAAAGTCAGTCTCATTGGCCTGTAGTTTGTGGATTCTATGTGTCCTCTTTTTTTTTTTTAATTGGAATAGCATTTCCCCTTTTCCAATTCTGCTGTACTTTCCTTCGTGTTAGGAACTTGCAACAATCACCAGCAGTGATCTAGTTATCACATTTTCCAGTTATTTCTGTCACTTAGGATGTAATTAGTCCAAGTTATTGTCTTGAGCTCATCGAGTATGAATCTTGATGCTGTGTTACTATTCCTTTACTTTTTTTTAAAAATTTCCATTACCTTCTAGCAGTTTTCTTTCCATCTTTGTCCAAAGATTAGGCTCCTTAGAGAGGAGAGCATAAAATGAGAATTGAGCTGTTCAGGTTGTTGTCATACATCCTCCTCCTCCTCCTCCTTGTTCTCCTCATCATAATCCCATCTGCTCTGAGCCCCTGTGGTGGCTTTTTGCCTTCCTCTTGCCCCTAAGATTTATAGAAGCTATTTTTATTTTGAGCTTCCATCACCAGCTTCGTGTCATTCTGGGCTTTACCACCTTTGGACATTATTCCTGTAGGACTATGCCGCTGTATTGTATTCATTCTCAATTACCCTTCCATCTTTTACACATATCTTTTATTTATTTTTCAAAAAAATCACATTTTTATTTATTTTGTTAAATTTTTAAATATTTCCCAATTTTAAATTAAAAAATTAATTTTCATTTTTTAGTTTTGAATTCTAAATTCTCTCCCTCCCTCCCCCTCTGCCCATTAAGAAGCAATATATTAATTATAAATGTGAAGTTATGCAAAACATATTTATTTCCATAATAGCCATGTTGCAAAAAAAATACACAAAACAAGAAAGATAAATTTGAAGTTCTGCCTCAATCTGCTCTCAGAGTTTATCAGTTTTATCTCTGGAGGTGGATAGCATCTTTCATCTGGCTCCTTTGGAATTGTCTTAGATCATTGTTTTGATCAGAGCAGCTAAGTCTTTCACAGTTGATCATCATGTAATATTGCTCTTACTGTGTATGATATTCTCCTTGTTCTGCTTATTTCACTTTGTATCAGTTCATATAAACCTTCCCAGGTTTTTCTGACACCATCCTGCTTGTCATTTCTTATAACGCAGTAGTATTCCATCACAGTCATATACCACAGCTTGATCAGCCATTCCCCAGTTGACAGGCATCCCCTCGGTTTCCAATTCTTTGCTACCATAAAAAGAGCTGGTATAAATATTTTTGTACAGATAGATATTTTTATTTTTTCTTTAATATCTTTGGGTGACAGACCTAGCAGCAGTATTGCTGAATCAAAGTATGTGCACAGTATTTTAGCCCTTTAGAGTAGACATCATTCCAACTTGTTTTCCAGAATGTTTGGACCACTTCCCAACACCACCAGCAGTGCATTAGTGTCCCTCTTTTTCCACATCCCTTCTAGCATTTGTCATCTTCCATTTCTGTCACATTAGCTAATCTTCTGGATGTGAGGTGGTACCTCAGAGCTGTTTTAATTTGCATTTCTCTAATTATTAGTGATTTAGAGCAATTTTTATATGACTGTAGAGAGCTTTGATTTTTTTTCTTATGAAAATTGCCTTTTCATATGCTTTGACTATTTATCAGTTGAGAAATGGCTCTTTTATAAATTTGACTTAGGTCCCTGTATATCTGAGAAATGAGTCCTTTTATCAGAGAAACTTGCTGTGAAATTTTTTTCCTTAGTTTCCTGTTTTCCTTCTAATTTTGGCTGCGTTGATTTTATTTTGTACATGTCTTTTAAACAAAAACAATCTCCTTTCCTAAGAATGGGCTCACGCCCGACCAAACTTGACTGGACTCACCCCTGTAGTTCGGTAGTTGCTGACCCCTAAATGCTCATTGTCTCTACTCCGACAACTTAGATAGTCATGAACAGTTGCCCTGCTTTATTACTACACTCTTCTTATGGTGTTGCAATGACACATTTCCCTAGATTGTTCAGGAGACTCTTTTACTACTCATTCTACTGACCTTTTTTTCCGACGTTTTCCTTGCCTTCTTTGCAAATGCTGGCCCTGGTGAGCACCCCCATATACTTCGGTAACACTTTCTTTCCCCAGTTTTGGAAGTTATTGATCAGCAAGCATTTATTAAGCACCTCCTGTTTGCTGAGCACTTTGCTTAGCCCTGGGGTTAAAAAGACAAAGCAAATTAGTATTTCTGTCAAGGAACTTACATTGTCTGTGGAGAAACACGCGCATGCACACACACACACACACACACACACACACACACACACACACACACACAAAAGTAAAACTCTTTTACAAGGCAGATGCAAAGTTATTTCAAGGTGGGAGGGTGATGGCATCAGTAAGATCAGGAAGGCCTCACATAAGAAATGGCCTTTGAATTGAGCTTTGAGGGAAACAAGAAAGAGAAGCTATGGAAAAGCTCAGCGATAGCAAAGGAAATGTTCTGTATGAGGAACGAGCAGTAGGCCAGTGTGGCTGCAGTGTTGATTTGCGGAAGGGCGGAATGTGCAGTGCTTCCTGGAAAGGTCGCTGAGATCAGATTGTGAAGTGCTTTGCCGGAGAGGTTTGTCTGCAGTCCCTGAGGCCTGTGGAAGCCACCAGAGCTTGTTGGCCACAAGAGTGGCTTGGCTGGGCCTGTGTTTCCGGAATGTCACTTTGGTGGCCAGGCGGCAGGTGAACAGGATGGGGAAAGGCTGAGGAGGGAGCAGCTGGAAAGCTTGAACTGCGCTGTGTGAGTGTGAAGAAGGGGCATACACTAGAGATGTCCTTGTGAGAAGCTCGGCAAAACCTGGCAGCTGGCCAGTTATGAGGATGCAGGGTCGATGAGGAGTCAGGAAGGGTCTTAGTCTTACAAACCAGGTGAGGAGCAGCGTGACGTGCTCGTGGCAGAAATAGGGACGTTCTCTTCCCTCTTCTGGAACTCTTCTTCATCTAACTCCTTTACTGGCTCCTCCTTAGGTTAGTGCTCCCCGAGACTCTCTCTTTGGTCCTCTTCTATTCTCTACTTTCTTTACACCAGGGCCTCTTTGCCTGGGTTCTGTAGGTTCCTCGTTAGGTTCAGGGTTAGAGCTTTTGGAAGCTCCATGAACTTGGATGAAAACACACACACACACACACACACACACACACACACACACACACACACACACAGAACCACAGCACCTTTTCTCCAATAAGATGTTTCCTTTGTAGCCTATGTAGTTTAGACATTTAGACATATTCTGAGGAGGGATCCATAGACTTCACCAGATTGCCAAAGGGACATAGAGAGTCCCTACCCTAAAGGTGGCTTTAGTGTGTGAAAAAGCACTGTAGATCATCACGAGACTCGGACCTTGGTTTTGACTAAAGCACTTACTAACTGAATGAGCTTTGGCAAATATTGTCAAATAGCAGTGCCTCAGTTTTTAAAAAATATGTAAAATGGGGAAAACAATAGCTGTGTGGCCTACTTGACAGGATTGTTGTGAGTTCCAAATGGTCATGTTTATGTAAAGCACTCCGTGAAATGTAAAGCATTACACAGATGTCATATAGGGACTTGTCCAGGGTCACGTAGCCGCAGTGTGTCATTGGTAGGATGGAAGCAGCCTAGGACTTCCCGACTCTGGGGCCAGCTCTCTCTGCTGGATGTTTCCTTGATCTCTTTCTGGTTTACACTCTTAGGGCAGGCCTGCATTAGGACCTGCCTCAATACTGTAATCATCTCTTCTTTGTGCCTCCGCTCTGTTTCCTCTTGGATCTGTGTTTCAACATTGCTGCAAGATTAAATTTTAAAGTTAATTTAAATTGCTGTCTTTTGGGGGCAGCTAGGTGGTACGTTGGATAGAGCACCAGCCCTGAAGTCAGGAGGACCTGAGTTCAAATCCAGCCTCAGACACTTGACACTTCCTAGCTGTGTGACCCTGGGCAAGTCACTTAACCCCATTTCCTAACCCCCCTCCCAAAAAAAAATTGCTGTCTTTTGTTTTTATATCAGTTACATTTTCCAGTATTATTCTCCTCTCCTAGAGGAAAATTGTCCAAAACAATTCATTATCTTTCCCCATGAGCCTTTCTTTGTTCCAGATGTTCTCTTTTCTCTTGAAGGCACCACCACCATCTGTCATTCCAGTGTTCCAGGATTAGAATCTCAGCATCATCCTTGAAGCTTCACTTTCCCTTCTCCTACAGTTTTGGAGCCGGGACCAAAAGTACAAGGAATGAAGCCACCCCTCCCTCCAAGGAGCTTATGCTCCACAGTCAGTTGTAGTTCTTGCCATTTCTGTCTTCCCTGTGTCTCTCTCATCCGACCCTTCTCCACTTCACCCAGCTCCCACCTCTCTTGTTAGCAGCATTTTCCTGTTTGGCCTCCCTGCTTCAGGCCTCTCACCACTGCATTCCTTTTTGTACATCAGCCAAAGTCATCTTCCTTCAGGCAACTCCCTTATTCAATTCCAGTAGCTTCCTGGGGTAAGATATGACCACCTCTGTTTAACTTTTAAAGCCCTACCCAACATGACCACAGCCTGACCCTTCTAGCTTTATTAGACCTTACTAACCTTTCCACGTTCTGCAGTCTGGTCTTTTTTTCCTCTGTTCCTCACTCATGACATGCCATCTCCTGTCTTGGTGCCTGTGTACTCCTCCCTTGTCTTGGTGGCCCCTTTTTCTTTAAAACAAGGCTCAAATGTCAATTTCTGCATGCATTCTTTCCTGATTTCTCACCCCATTTCCCCCAAACTGCTGGAGCCATCCCTCCCATAGTACCTTGTATTTAAATGCTTTGTGTGTGTTTGTATATACATTTATATTTATTAACTTTATATTTTTGCTGTATGTATTTTTTAATTGGTTTTTTTTTTTTTAGTTTTCAACATTCACTTCCATAAGCTTTTGAGTTTTAGATTTTCTCCCTCTCCCTCACTGCCTCCCTCCCCAAGACAGTGTGGAATCTGATATAAGCGCTACATATACATTCCTGTTAAGCATATTTTTACATTAGTCATGTTGTAAAGAAGAATTAGAACCAATAGGAGGAACCACAAAAAAGAAGAAACAAAACAAAACAGAAGGAAAAAAAGAGCAAATGGTCTGATCTGCATTCAGACTCCATAGTTCTTCCTCTGGTTGTGGATAGCATTTTTCATCATGAGGCCTTTGGAGATGTCTTAGATCCTTGCATTACTGAGAAGAGCTAAGTCTGTCAAAATTAGTCATCACACAACGTGGCTGTTGCTGTGTACAATGTTCTCCTGGTTCTGCTTCACTCAGCATCAGTCCATACAAATCTTTCCAGGTTTTTCTGAAGTCTGCTTCCTCATTATTTCTCATAGAACAATTGTATTCCATTACATTCATATACCACAGCTTGTTCAGCCATTCCCCAATTGATGGGCATCCCTTCAATTCCCAATTCTTTGACACCACAAAAAGACCTGCTATAAATAATTTTGTACATGTGGGTCCTTTTCCCATTTGTATGATCTCTTTGGGATACAGCCTTAGAAGTGCTATTGCCGGTCAAAGGGTATGCACATTTTTATAGCCCTTTGGACATAGTTCCAAATTGCTCTCCAGAATAGTTGGATCAGTTCACAACTCCACTAACAGTGCATCAGTGTTCCAGTTGTCCTACATCTTCTCCAACATTTACCATTTTCCTGTTTTGCCATGTTAGCCAATCTGATGGGTGGGATATGGTACCTCAGAGTTGTTTTGATTTGCATGTTATATATATTTTCATGCATACTTTTGTTCTAAATGGAATGTAAGCTCCTTGGGAGGAGGGATAGTTTCATTCTTCATTCTTTAATCCTCAGCACAGTACCTGGCATATCATAGACACTTAATAAATAATTTTAATTGGTTGATTTTGCGGGTGTTTATTAACTACTCAGTACTGTGTTGTTGTTTTTAAAGGACTGGGAGACCCTGCTTGCTTTTATGTTACTGTGATTTTTGTTTTAAATGGACTAATGATGACATTATTCTTCATATATGGCACATACCTAAGGTAAGACTGTTTAAAAGTTGTTTCCAATGGACTTGGTTTATTTATTGATTAAATATTAAAAATAAGTTAATTTATAGTAGTTCATATATTTATTGAAATCTATGTGAGGAGAGCCTCAACGCTAGAAAGCTGGCCCACCAGATGGTGGTTTTATTTGGGCCACAGCAACTCCTGAAATAACCTAATGAGATGAGAAGCGTCATGATTTAATCCCTGATTAGATTGCTGGTGATGTGAAGCTTTTAAAGTAAGTTTAAGGGGATAATAGTAATGATGTACATATAGAAGCTTGGAGATGCCTTTGAATGACAAATCTCATAGTTTTGTTTAAGAATCCTTAACAGAGTGTTCGGTTTCAGTGTTGGCATGTCTTGATTTGTAAACACTAGAACACATTTTATTGGAAGCAACCCCAGAGATTTTAATTTAGGTTTTCTCAAATAGAAAGTTAATGGTAAAGTTAATAATATCAAACAGGTATGAATTTTATTTTTGCCTCTTAATAAAGTATTTCCTGATTTAAAAAAAAAGTTAAAAACAACTTTCTCCAGCCCTCATATTAATTTGAAAGATAAAGTTTATTAACCTGTAACTGTAACACCTTTTACATTTACAAATTCTAGAATTAGTCATTCAAAAAATATCATATTTCTTCAAGGTGCCTATGGACAGAGTGGTGATCATATGGGCCTTTCCCTTAAAGAGATTAAAATCTCTTAAAGTAGGTGGGAGTGGTCAAGCTCTATTGAAGACAGATGTGACAAAATCACAAAAGTGTGTCGAGGAAAATGTGTGTCAGAGATTGTGGAATGTGTTAGACGTGAGGAACGGCTGAGGTTGTTGGAACTTCTGTTTCAGAAGGGGGCTGGTTTCTCGTTTGGTGCCCAGTAGGAATGTGTTTTTAAGTATCCATTTTATTTATAAATGTAAGTCACCCTGTTGTAGAATATTAACAGTTTTCTTTTTGTAGTTTAGCTTCTTTTCTTAAAAAACAGAAACACATGTTTTGTACCTGAAGTATTTTTTGTCATTTCTGGACATGCTAACCTCATGATCCCTTTCAGGATGAATCTTCTCTTCTAAGAAAGGAAGCCAGTTAATCTCAGATAACCATGATGACTTCTGACAGTGTGTCCGCAGCCCTTGGCCCTTGCAATACTTCGTTTCCCTTTGCCCAGAAGAGCGACATGGGCGTCAGTATCTGTCTCCCGGCACTTAGCAGTCTTGCCCATTAAAGGCTTTGTACTCATGGTTCTGCTTGTTGTTTTCATTGTGATTATTTTAATCTACATTCGGGAGTATAAGACCTATGCTTCTTCAAATTTCTTAAAGGACTCTTTTTTGTTGCACGCTGATATTGCATTATATTTAATGCCACAGTTTGTTTTTTTTTTAAAGCACTTCCCCAATTGATGGACACCTATTTTGGTTCTGTTAATTGCTGCCACAGAGTATACACCTGTGAGTGTTTTAGTATGTATTGGACTTTTGTTTCTGTCATTGACTTCCTTGGGGTATATGCCCAGTAGTTGAATTGCTGGGTCAAAAGGTATGGGGCACTTTAGTAATTTTTATTGCCTAAGTCCAAATTGACATCCAGAACAGTTGGTCGACTTCACAGTTCTGTGGACAAGTACTGTATATGTCTTCCCACAGTCCTTTCAACAAAGATGTTATTCCTGTATTTTTTCACTTTTGCGAATCTGATGGTTATAAAGTTAACCCAAAGTAGTTTTAATTTGCATTTGTATACTTTTCCATAAATGGAATTTGCCCTGTTCATATTTTCTCTATAAAAACCAAAATCATTGAAAAACTGTCTGTTCAGGGTATATGAGCCACTTATCATACTCCAATAGCATTCCATTGCAGTTATCTTTCCTTCAAATTTCCAAAAAGTTTACTGATTGGGAATGTTCCGTGTTTTCATGTTATCATAAAATGAGCATAGAAAGGCAGCTAGTAGAAATGATCATGGCTATGTGGCAATATTTTCAGTCATTCTCTCTGTTCTTTCTTTTTTACTTTGGTTTGTCTCCTGTCATTTCTTGTTGGAGCCAATAGAGAATTCTTTTTAAAAAAATAGATTTTATTGATATATTTTGGTTTATATCACTTAGATTTCCCCTGTATATCTTTACTTCCTCACTCCCACCTCTCAGCCATCCCCCATAACAAAGACTTTATTTTAAGAGATCAACAAAACTGACCATTACATTGAAAAAAAATTGATGTTATATACAATATTCCACACCTGTGGACCCTCTGCCTCTGGAAAGTATTGAGGGAATTTGTCTTCTGTTTCTCCTTTTGGGACCACACTTTTGACAGAGGGTTCATTGCAGGAAGAGTAATAATTCAGTCACCCTTAAATTTCCTCGTTTACCTCCCTTGATGAATTGCTGCCTGCCTAAAGAGTCACTCCCCTCCTTAACCCCTACTTCCCTGTTTGCTCATCCTTATCCCTCCCCTATCCCACTTGAGCTTTACCGCTTCTTCCATTGTGCTCTCTAGAATTTCCATTCCATATTTAATACATTTCCTTTCATTTTAGCTTTCTACTTAATGTGCTGCTTATTCCTTCTGACCCTCATAGAGATTTGGCTTCCTCTAAATGGACTGAATCCATCACCTCCATCTTTAGGCTTGGCTATTCTTCTCATATATCTCCTGACATGCAGATGTTGGAGGGGGAAATTAGAACACTTGTTGACCCGTACTGCTACTTCCAGACTCTCCTTCTCCTTTCATTACTTAGCATTACTCTCTTCCTTTGAGGTTCATTTTATCCAAATTATACCCAGTCTAGATCCTACTGGCTCTTAGTAAAAGGGTGTTTCACGAAGTATTCAGTGTTTCACTGAGTCTTACTTTGTATCCCAAATCCTGTCCTTACACTAGGGGACTTCAGTATTCATGTTGATATGCTTTCAAACTCTATAAACTCCCAATTCTTTAATATCTTCTATTTTGATGACCTACTTCTTTGCTTGTCCTCAGTAGCACATAGGAATGGTCATGCCCTTTGTCTCCCATTACCCACAAGTGTTCCACTCCCACAAAAACTCTGAAGTTCCTTTATCAGACCATAACCTCACGTCATTCCTTCTCTCCTTTTGCCTTATTTCTCCTAAACCTGTTCTTCAGTCTTACAAGGACCTCCAGACCTACCAATACTTAATATTTTCCCAGGACAACTTCATTTTTCACCTTTCCGAATCTTGATCCTAAAAGTAATTAGTTCAGTTCTGCACAGCATTCTATTCTTGAATCCATTTCTCCTCTTGTCTTATTGTTGCCCATGTTTGAAGAAACCTGAACCTTGCATTATTTCTGTCTTGCTTCTCTTCTCCTCTTACTCACGCACTGGCCAATAGATTTGTAAGAAATTGTGCAATCAAGTCAACTGGATCTACCATACATTCACATGATCTCATCTGGGCCCTCAGTGCAGCAAGAAAATCTTTTGTCCTTCTCCTCAATTCATTCTTTATCCCATTCCCCCAGAGGATGTTCCGGATCTTCCCCTTTTTGCCCTCAAGTCTTTCACAGAAATGCCTTCTCCTGCCTTCTGTCACCTAGATAACAACTCCTCAGTCTTCATTGCTTGTTCATCATCCCTATTACGAACTCCTAACTGGGGGCATGCCCTTCTCTTTTTTGTATATGTGTTTACTAACTCGGGGCCCTTGTCGGCTCCAGTAGGTTTACTTATCATCCCTATGCAGATGACTCCCTAATGTAGATGCCAGCCTCAGTGTCTCACCAAAGTGCTAGTTACGCCTGCTCAAGAAGCTTCGATGGCTTCCACTTGCTTCTAAGATAAAATATAAACTCTTCTGTTTGGCATATAAAACTCATCACAGTCTGGTTTCAGGCAGTGTTGTCAGGCTGATTATACATTAATTCATCTCATCAGTCAGTTAATGAGCAGTCATTTATTAAGCATTAATCACATGCCAGGCACTGTGCTAGGTGCTATGGCTATAATAGCTAACATTTACATAGCACTTACTATGTGCCAGGCACTGTGCTAAGTGCTTCACGAACGTCATCTCGTTTGATCATCACAGCAGCCCTGTAAAGGACGTGTTATTATCACCATCTTACAAAGGAGAAAACTGAGAAAGACAGGTGAAGTGACTTATGCAGGGTCACACAGCTACTAAATGTCTGAGGCCAGATTTGAACTCGGGGCTTCCTGACTCCAGGCCCAGTGCTATATCCACTGCATTGTCTGGCTACCAAAAAAGTAGTTTATATTCTATTAGGAGAGATAACATGTACGTATATAAGTATGTATAAGATATATGTAAAATAGGAATTGTAGAGGTCTGTCATATCTAACTTTTCTAAAATTCCGTTCCCCTCTGTAACTTCTTTCCTATTTATTTTATGCTTAGGTTTATCTAGCTCTGAGAGGGGAAAGTTGGGATCCACTGCTAGTGTAGTTTTACTGTCTGCTTCTTCCTGTGCCTTATTTAACATCTTGGAAAATTTGGATGCTATACCATTTGTATCTATGTTTAGTAGTGATGGATATATGTTATTTCTTTTAATTAGATCTGGCTTTGCTTTTGCTTTGTCTGAGATCATGATGACTACCTCTGCTTTTTTTTTTCCTTCCTTCAACTGAAGCATATTAGATTCAGGTCCAGCCCCTTTTTTCTGTGCTTCCAGTGTATTGCTTGTAAGCAACATGTTGTCGGATTCTGGTTTATAATCCGTTCTGCTATACACTTCCCATTTATGGGTGAGTTCATCCCATTCACATTCACAGTTAGGATTACTCTGTGTTTCCCTCCATTTTATTTTCCCCCTGTTTATCTCTCTCCCTCTCTCCCTCCTTTCCTCCCTTCTTACTCTTTTATCCTGTCCCTCCTTACCAGTGTTTTGCTTCTGACTACCACCTTTTCCAGTCTGCCCTCCTTTCTCTCAGTCTTCCTTCTATTTTCCCCCTCCTCTCCTACTTCCTTATAGGGTGAGACAGATTTCCATAC